AAGCCTGTCAACCAAGAATCTTATGTCCAACAAGGCTTTCTCTGAAAGTGAATTAAATATACTCCAAGATAGAGTTCTTGGCTAGAAGACCCACTTTATAGAAACACTGAGGTAAATTTTTGAAGTTGAAAGGAGCACCAGATGATAATATAAAACAACAACAAAAACATAAAGAATGCTGGTAAAGATAATTAATAATTACATAGGTAAGTATAATGTTACTTAATATATTTGCCAAATTTGCCAAATTTCTGAAACATATTTTATAACTGTATTAAATGTTGATGGGGGGGGACAAAATCAAGTCTGTCAAGGACTATAAACTTCCTGATTATTGAATGTTAGAAAACATTTTCAGAATATTTAGTAATGCTAAGTGCAACAGATTGAAATTCCTTAAAAAACAGTGTAGCAAATTTCAAAAACAAATTTGTAATAAAAAATTCACAGCTTTCTGAATTATCTCACATAAAAGATTTTGCAACTTGATGGTTTAGTCCCTCTACAATAAGCACAGAAAAACCAGACAAGAGAACTTGAGAAATCTAATCAACCAAGTTGCCAAATTAAAGTTCTCCTCTTGATAAATTTTAATATTTCCTTATTATTATATTTATTAACTTTCTTGTATAGACCTATATTATCTTTCTGGAAATAATCTCTAAGAGAACTTCTGTCAGAGAAATCCATCAAAGTATCTCAGAAGAAAAGTGTAAAAGTGGGTCCAGGCAAACTCTTACAATCATTTTTTCAAAGGATTGAAGGTTGTAAATTAGGATCATATACTTCATCATGCCATGAACTAAATATGGATAATTCTGAGATTTTTCATAATAAGAAAAAATATTTAATGCAATCATGCAAATCATTTTTTTAAATGATTATGATTTTAGTGGCTTGCTTGCCTTTATCTAATCCTAGCAAGAGAATAAAACCCCAAGTCATCGCTCTAATATTTAAGAGTACAGTCTGTGAGTGCAAAGTTTTTAATGCTGTTGAGAATCAATCATCCCACAGATAACACCTTTTGACAAGCTGATTTTCAAACTCAGTTGCAATGTCCTATCCCAGCCAACTCCCACCTTTTATACGTTTTTTTCCAATGGAAATACATTTGTTTTATCAACACATTATCTAGGATAATGTCTAAAAACAAACACCAGTGGAAAGTTATAAGGAGATGTTTAAAAAATTGTAACTTTGTACTATGGAATGTACTTAACTACTAACTTTGACAGTCGATATTTCTGACATTTCATTTTGACACTTCTTGCTTTATGTTATTATGAAGATACATCCTCAGTCTTTCAAATGCATGGTTTGGCTTGTGATAATCCTTCAACTTTTGTTTTAGAGCAATTTTTGTGAAACTATGGATAAGTCAAAAATTCGTGTTATTTTTGAATATGAGTTCTGTCATGGAATCATTGCAGTGCAAACAGCTCGAAATATCAATGAAATGTTTGGGAAGGAAGTGGCTTATGAACGCACAGTATTCCTGTGCGTGACCTGAGACTGAGGTGGATAATGACAAGTCGAAAGCTGTAGTGGAAGAGAACCCATCACAAACTATGAGTGAATTAGCAGCAAGGTTTGACATTACTATTTCAACAATATTGCACCATTTGAAACAAATTGGCAAAGAAAAGATGCTGGATAGATGGGTACTACATTAATTAAATGACCATCAGAAGAGAAACCATCTCAAAGCTTGCCTTTCTTTGCTGTGACAACCTAAAGGCGAACCATTTCTACACCACATCATTACATCTGATGGAAAATGAATTGTTTTTGACAATTGCAAGCATTCAGCACAATGGCTGGATAAAGATGAAGTACTGAAACACAGTCCAAAACTGAATATTCATAAAAAAAAAAAAACAAAAAAAAACCTAATGGTGTCTGTTTGAAGGTCCAGTGCTGGTATTATCTACGACAGCTTTATGAATCCTGGTCAACTGGTTACCATGGATGTCTATTGCAACTAACTGGACAAAATGATGAGGATGCTTGTGATTAAGCAGCTGAGATTGGTCAATAGAGACAGGCCAATTCTCTTGCAAGACCACATGTTGCAAAAAACTATGCTGATCAAACTACAGAAGCTGGACTTGGAAACTCTGTCATCCACCGTATTCACCAGGCCTTGTACCAACTTACTACCACTTCTAGGCTTTGGACCACTTTTTGCAAGGAAAAATACTCAATTCTCAACAAGCTGTGGAAAACGCCTTTTATGATTTCATCGCCACTTGCTCTCCAGGATTCTTTGCTGCTGGCATAAGCAAGCTACATTAAGATGGCAAAATTGTGTCGATAGTTTAGGCACATACTTTGATTAATTGTACTGCTTCTTGTTTGAGATATAACACACTAAAGTTTTTATTCAAAATAGGACATTTCATATTTAATGATCTATAAATGTAGAGCCTTATTATTATCTTGATATTAAAAAAGTATTTTTATATGTGATATTTAAAAGGTAAATATGTGCAGATTTCACATTTTGAAAGAACAAGCAAATGAAGGGGTTCTGTTTTTTTCAGAGTCATGCTGATACTTACTGTAAAAATATTCTTAACTTATAAAACCTAACTCTTTTTGTGAAAATATAAATTAGAAATGTAGCAAGTTCGTTTTTGTTGCTATATTTATAAACCAATCCACCCCCCCCCAAAAAAACCCAAACAATATTGATGAAAATTCATGGGAAATCCCAAAGGAATTGAATTTTGAAGATTCAATTCAGCCAGCTTAGTAGCAGCAAAGGGTTAATGTTATCAATGGAGCTATCTAAACATAATTCTTTGTCACCAAATAAATAGTAAAACAAAGATAAAAGCAATTTAAACAGACTATAGGGAGTTTTACAACATCTCTATATATTTAGGCTTAGAAGAGGGATTCCAATAAAGTAAAAAAAAATCATAATTTCACCAATGAGAGTGTGCCCTTGTGCAGAATAACTTCCTATTATAAACCATTACATATATCCATTGCAAAGTGATTCTTTATGGCAGCCACTTACTTTATAAGCAAATACACAATCTTCCAAGTTATTATTAGATGAGGAGATTTAGGCTAAGGGTGAAGTTTTAAAATAAAATATTCCTTGGCTGAAAAATATATTATAATTAATATCTTTTTAATGTATAATTTTTATACTTTAGCTATCCTTAAGACCTCATATCAGTATTTCATATATAGTGTCTTCAATGCTTCATATCTAATATTTTAATTATATTTCTTCACCAATTTAATGTACCAAGTAAAATTCATTATTATTATATAGATCAAAATAAAGATTGCTTATAAAAAAGTTTATTTACTCTTATTTCTCTTCCCTTCCACCCATAACAAGACCACACACACACTCACAGACACACACACACAGACACACACACACACACACACACACACACAGACACATTATAATTTCTCTACCAAAAATAAAAGAGCTCAGAGGAATAGGGAAAGGAGTGCCAATTAAATAGTTTGTCTAATACTCAGTTATTCTCTCTAACATGACTGTGACAAAATCTGGCTTCAGTTTCCCTGGTCTAGAAAAGCAATTCATTGAACAACCTCAATAGGCTAAAAAGGTTTTTTAAGAAGTTATGACAAAGTACTTAAAAGTAAAGTAGATGTATGCATTCTAATTGCAATGAAAAAAACTAATCAAAAGTGATTGTCTTTTACAGGTTTTTCCCTCTATTTTTAGTGCAAGAACCACAAAATCCACCTGTATCCTCACTGCACGGTAATCATAATAGGCACAAATAGCCTGCTGTCATGGGAAGTGCTGTCAAAGGGATGAGTCTGGCCACCCCTACAGGAGTAGCTGAAGTCTTACCACCAAGGCTGCATAACACCAGCATTATTATTTACTTACACTTTTATGCTTTAAAGGAATTTAAAATTATCCACATTAAAAATATAGTCTCCTCCAAAGTACTAATACCAAAGTAATAATACTCATGGAACCACAGGTGTAATATTCTAGTTATAGTTTTTAAAATATACTATTTTATTGCATTAAAATTGTATCTCCTAAAATGATCCCACATGCCACCAACAGTTCAGAAAAAAAATTAGTGAAAATAGACTACCTTATATAATTTTTCAACCCGATTTCTTTTTCATAGAAAAATTTGATGAATATATGCTAGCATCAAGTTTAAAAACACAGATCAATGTTCAATTTAATGTCATGCTTTCTAATTATGCACTGCAGTGCATCATTTATGCTTTAAAAATATTGAACAAAGGCAGCTGAGTTAATATATTGAACCTGAAATACTCATTGCCTCAGTCTCATATTGGGAGATTAATGAGCTGTGAGGAAGTTGTAATTTACACCAAATCATGGTGTATAATATGTATATAAAGGAGAGGCTGACTGAAGGTTCCATTTGGAGCCTATCTTCCCAACTACAAACAGCCTCTGCAGTTTCTACTGCTGATAAGAGTTAAAAGTGACCCTTCCTTTCCCTAAGGAGAAATTTTTTCACAGAAGAGAAAAGAAAAGGGAAAAATGTGGTTCAATATGACAACTCTGCTACTTGTGTTCTACAAATAATCATATTTTTAGCTCTTGATTTAAATTTGATCCATTCTCCCTAAATCAGTACTTCTGCAATAAAGTTTCAAATCACCTGCCTGTGCATCTAGTGCTGAGAAAGGTAGAGCCCATAAAAATTTATTGTTCCTGAAGGCAGGTAGAAAAACCATCAAAATTCAAAGAGTTAAGAAAACAAATGAGCTCACAATGATATAAATCATATTAAAACCTCACTGTCTTCATGAACTCAATCTACCCTATTAATAGAATTTACCTATTAATATACAATTCTGTAATGCTCCTAGATGTTCGTCTTATTTTTTTAAATGAGAACTGGAAGGAGCTCTTCCTAGCATTTAATTTCACTGTGCCACATTCACTTAATAAAGTTCACAACAATATTATAATAAATGATAGGAAAGAAAGCATGGATTCTAACCACTTTGTCCTCCTTTGGGAAAGCATCCAAGGAAGCAGAGTAGAGAAAGAAGAAAAAGAAGAAGAGAAAAACAAAAATGAGCCATATATTAATAAACTGGTTTTATGAAAACATTATGTGTTTCTTCAAAGTGTTAAAACACAGGTATTTTGACATTTGAAAATATTTGAAAACATTTGAAAAGTAAATGTTTACTCTTCCTCAAAAAATAGACATTATTCAACTCTTCATTGAAAATACACATATATGAGTCCTGCTATACATATTAGATACAAGAGTTGGGCACGATAATTTCTGAAATTTTTAGAACTGAATTAGTAAATATACATTTAAAATATTCTTCAGGAAGAAAGGTTATTTCTCTGCCACGTGTAGTTTACCTATTATTGAAAAGAAATATTTTATTAAAGTGCATACAATTGTATAAATAATTTTATTAAATCACAGTTAAAATATTTATAGTCACAATCTGAAAAAAAATCTAAGAATGAAAAATGTTTGTAATAAATAAGAACGAGAAGGGAAATATGTCAACTGTTTTAGTCATAAATTATTACACAGGCAATGTTTATTTTTGATACACATTTCAACATTTATGTTATAGGAAAAACAAACTGCATATGATGTTTTTGTCTTATGCTCAAATTGAAATATCTTAAGTTGTGCTTTGTTTTATTTTGTTCCTTTAAATATTTTCCAAAATTGGATGGGTTGGGTAAGGATGGGTGAATTTCAATAGGTCTGAGCCTCCTCTCTGATGCCTAAGTACCCCCACACTTAATTCTCTTTAAACACCTTCTCCTTTCAAAAACCTGAGTTTGACCCTCATGATTTTAATATCTCAATAATTAACTGTATTATGATTGGCTTGCTTCAAACCTATCATGAGAAGTTGAGAGCATTCAACAGTAATGGGTGCCTAGCCAGCTCTAACACTCAGCTGATCTGCACCTGTTTGTTCACTGCCAGCATCTTTTCAGATTGAATAGTGCCCTTACTATTGTGGGTTGTTAAATATTATCACCTCCAGGTTTTGCCTTTGAGAATATATTCCAGAATAGTGTATTTAAGAACACTAAAGAAGGGGAAATTAACCAGTAGATCTTGGGTAATTTTATCTGCCAGACATTACCTTAATACCCACAATTGTTCTAGAAAGGATTTAAGGCAGCATATGAGGATTAACTCTAACAAATCACTTTAGGAAGGAGAACAAAAACTTACATAGTCTAAAGAATAAAATCTAAAGAAAAATTAAATGTGCATATAGTAATGACCTAGATTTTAATTATTTTATTTAATTCTCATAACAACTATACAAGATAATTGTTAGAATTCAGTTTCTTAGATAAAGAAACTGGTGTTCAGAAAAGCCCATTATCATTCTAAAGCCACAGAGATAATAATAATCTCACCTTAAAGTATGAAATATATTGATTATATTCAATGCCTTAATTCTACTGTAAGAGATGTTAGAATATCTTACTTATACCTCAACTAAACTACCAAATAATATAATGTTGATTAGAAGGTTTGTTTTAATTTTAACTGTGATCTTCCAAATTAGGAGAATATCAAAAGGGCTTAAAAAAGGTTTCCTGTTACTTTTAAACACGAGTTTGTATTATATTAAATTCTATTCATGATTAGATAACATAAGAAATTATTTAAAGGAACACTAGGAATTCTTTAGCTGTATGATAATTGTAACTTTTGCATTATGCTGCAAATCTATATCAAAGAAAACCCACATTTTCTTATAAATAATTCTACTGTATTAATGTAGAGACTATGATAAAGTACAACATTAAAATGTATTTTGAACTAAATAGTTATTAGAATTATTCTAGTATTTCATAAATAATAATACTGGGTCCTACTGTATTAGCATCTTAAGGTTTCAAAAAATTGCCTTTATTTAAATCACTCACTTAATAGAGGAGTATCTCTTATTTAGCCCACAAAAAGAAATTGCACCAGGTAAGAATACATCTCATAGAAAAATGAGAAGTGCAAATATCAAAATTTCAAAAAGCATATTTTGACATACTCTTTAAATTTCTAATTGATTGCCACGAGACAAACCTTGGCACTGTATTTCTTTAATGCTAGTAAATCTAAAATTACTCTCATAGAGGCTAATCCATTACTTAACATATGACAGGTTTCATCCTGCATTTTACCTTTGTTCAATCTGAAAGCGAATGTTGCAGAACCTAAAAGTAGTTAAAACATTTTTTTTTTTACAAGAAGAACTGATCATAACTTTTAAGAGTTCTATAATTCATGAAGATGCTAAATCTTCATTTACTGTATTCTTCAGAAAATAAATTTACCCTTCCAGGTAATCCACTGTTGACTTTGAATAGAAATCATGCATCAAGATCCACACATATGGAAAGTATCTTTTTATGAATCCCTATCCCACTACCCTGATGAATTTTACAAAAAACAAGAATAAAACAAGGGAGTGGCATGTTAATGTGTATATTTACGCACATGTCTGCTTTCTAACATGCATGTGTTCTCATGCTTGGGAGGCATAATGGTTTTTATCCGCATCCACAGCGTGCCTTATATTCACGGAACACTCACGTTGTTGGATCGCAGAGACACGCGGCCTCCGCAGCGGGCACAGAACTTGGTGCGGCAGTAGGAGCAGAGATGGCCGCACCCATCAGCAAACTTCGTTTTATGGCAGATCCCACACGTTGGTGCATCATCTTTGTGCTCGCCTTGATAACGCCGCGCTTCTTCCCCTATTTTTCTCACTTGTTCCTTGTAGCTTTCAAACTGTTGATGCAATCTCCTGGGCAAAAAGAGAAAACGGTAGCAAACTAAGTAAACGATACAAGGCAAAAAATAAGAACTACCAAATAGAGTTATTCCTAACAAAATGGAAATGTAGCCATTTGAACTAAAGCAAAACCTCCAAAGCTATTCTCCCCATTAATCTTACCTTCAAAGGTAAGATATGCATTAGCATGAATTCCACTAGTCCTGGCTTTGCTAACTAGCACTGAACCCTGCAAAAATAGAGTCTATATAAGCGCTGTTTGTCCCCAGAAGTGGAATTCCTGTATCTACTCCGTGCCTCTGCTTCGTTTAGACAAGTGCCTTTCAAAATATTTCAACTAGGAACTTAACACTTTACAATGTGTGCCTATAACTGAAGCAAAAATTACAAAAAATATTTAGCCTAACTATATATGATGTACTCTGACATTTTCTATCCTATTCTAAGTTTAATACTTAAAACAATTCAAAAATAAGCTTGCCACAGTAAATTGATTCCATGATCTATTATTTGAGCACGATGCACACTTTGAAAAATACTGTTTTAGACTACATTGCTAGGCAATCTGTCTTCCACAAATATCTTCTTCCTTTGCTTCTATTCCTGGAGACTACTTATCTATTTGGCATCAAGCATCTGATTTAATACAGTATAGAGAAAGTTAGCTTACACATTATATTTGAGCTCACTAGTCCTTCAGTGTCACTTTGAAAGTTATGAGCCACACTTTGCAGATACACAGATTTTTATATATGCTCATTTTTCTTGATCTCAATCAGGTTATGTGTATGAGGGATGCTACCACTCTTTATTGATAACTAGTGGCGGTGGGACAACTAAAGTTGTTGAGCCAAACCATTTCCCATAAGAATATTCACACTTAATATGATTCTAGTCCCCTCCCTTCTCCATCAATTCAAATCCTTCAGTCTTAAATGTCTGCAAGTAGTTTGCTATTCTGAACAGAACACTGTGACGTCCAGTGAATCCCCCAGTGAAAGGATGTCTTGACTTTGTAAATGAGATCAGAGAGAGCTGTGCTAAGCCTAGCCAGTAGTCATTGGCCATTTCACTGAAAAGGAAACTCCTGGGAAATGGTTGATCAAATTCATCTGTGTATCTGAGAGCTAGTTTGCTGGATTCGAGTGTTCGCTAGGATGAAGAGTACACTGATGCTATTCCTAATTCAGGCAGTTAGCTTGATACTCTCCATCTAAGACAACTGTTGGGAGCTAGTACACCCTGGAAACACAGTCAAATAAGCTAGGTCCAAGCACTGTAGCGTTTGAGGTACTGGGATTTCATTATATTTTCCCCTTAACATCTAACAGCTCTTGAGCAGAACTTTAATGATTACTTTTAAAACTCTTAGATCCCCTTCCTGCTTTTCCAATTGACACCTTTGCTATTTAATTCCAGCTATTAAAGCAAACATACTAGCATTAGCACATAATGTAGGTTAGGAACTTAAAGCCTTCCCAATGTAAAGGCCAGCTAATATCATCACTTCATAGGGGAATATATGTGATATTTTACTTAATGAATAAAATTAAGAATATTTGTTCAACTTATTAGTTTATTTGATACATTAAATTTTATATAGTTTTAGTACCATTAATCTAGGAACAAATTGGTAGAAAACAACTGTGAATATCTATAATTTCAAAAGTTACGTTACAAAATAGGATTGGAGGTCTTATTGTTTTTACTAACAAAAATAATTATTCAGGAATATAAGTAAGGAAATATCTCTCATCAAAGAGACAGAAATAAACTCTAAGAACAGAGAGAGTATATGAATAAATATTTATTGTGAGAACCACCAAATCAAATCTATATAAGTAAATATAAATGAGAAGGAGAAAGCTAGGCTAAGGAAAACATTTTCCCTATTAACTTGATCCATAATACAAAACATAATTTAGTATAAGTGTTGGCAAACTTTTCAGTAAAAGACAAGATTATAAATATCTTAAACTTTGAGAGTCATGTAGTCTCTGTTGCAACTGCTCAACTCTATTGATGTAGCAGGAAAGTAGCCATAGATATTATATAAATGAATGAGTGTAGATATGTTCCAGCAGAACTTTATTTACAAAAATAGCTGGTAGGTCAGATTTGGCCTGTAGACTGGTTTGTCAACTCCTGATTTAGTATATGCTTTCTACTAAGATATAATGGTTTGAAAACCAAAGCCTCACTGTGTCTTTAAATTCAAACATAAATGAGTTTTATATATTTTAAAGGGACCAATCAAATGGGAATATATTTCATGAAATATTTGTACTGCATATATATGCAGGGCACTGACCACTGACGTAAAACCTCACTTTACTGCAATCTCATAGCATTTTGTATCATCATTCATAGAACACTTAATATTTTTTACCGTATATTATTACTATTTCTGGACAAGACATCTCTCTTTTGCCAAACAGTAAAATGTATTAGACATCACAGTTTAGTAAATAATTAAGATATATTCCTCCTTAATAGTAGCAAATACAAGTACATATTGGCTGAATGGAAAATTTACATATATATACATATGTATTTTTTTAGGCCGTTTTGAGAAAAAAACAAAAATAAATTACAAACAAGTTAATATAAAAGACAAAATATCCTAAAAAATCATACTTCCGCAAAACACTGAAAATCCTAAGAATATGATCTAGGTTTTTTTTTTTATGATTTACATATATGTTATACAATACTCTTCTGTATGATTTGTGATCCTTGTATAGGTTTCCTAAGTGCTCATGCATCTTAGACTGCAGGGTCTCCTGGCCGGACTGTGACAGGTTTGCAGGCAGCAATAGTGCCATCTCTAGTAGGCTACAGCACATGAGTTGGTAAGATGAGGCTTCTCCATTGAGGTGAGGGTGAGGTGTCTAGTTTCTCACTTTCTCCATAGGAGAGCTTAGAGTAGTTCCTAACGAACACAGCCACCAGGGGGCAGTGTTCTCCTAGAGCGACTGGCCTATACCTAAATGGCCTGCAGCAGCTCTTTGCCAATTGCTTCATTCCAAAGCTCGGGAGACCACTCACACAGGCTTCATTCCAAACTCTACCAGGGCTGTCCTCCTGGATGCTGGCCCTTGGTTGCCTGCCTGCACCTATCTGTACCCTCCCATCAAGTGCGTTAGAAATCCCTTACTGGTTTCAGCCATAGGCCATGTTTATACTACTGGTTGAGACATCCCAGCAGGGAGTAGAATGAGAGAAGAACAATCGTGTTTCTCAGCCTAGAACTCCCTTACCTCTTGAAATCTTCCTTTTTAGGTTTTCCTCCTTTATTTACCAATAGGATTCCCTTATTCTGCACTGAAAGAAAAAGTCCAACTCAGGTCACTGTCAACCTCTCCAACTTATTCCTACTGTGATCCTTCTTTTTACAAGCAAACATTATAAAAGAAAGGAAGGAAGGAAAGAAGGAAGGAAGGAAAGAAGAGAAAGGAAGAAAGGGAGAGAGGGAGAAACAGCATTCGTTACTCCCATTTTCTTAAATATACCTATTCCATGATCTGCAATGCTCTATTAAATTGCTCTCTTAAAAACCAACATTAATGCCTTCTTCTCAATTCACATTCCCCTTACATTACTCTGATATCTCATACTGTCAAGATGCTGTCTTCATAATAAAATATGCCTTTGGAACCAAGATACTGGTAGGGAAACCATAAACAGCATATTTATTTTTTGTATCTGATGTTTTAATGCCTTAATCCATATCAAATTTGTGACAGTGTTCCATTATGAATAATAAATGGAAATACATATTTTATTATACAATATTACAGTAAATGTGCAACTGCAAATGTAAAATCTTTTTGTGAAATTTATTTATACATTTCAGTTTTAGAATTAGCAATATGTTCTTATTGATTAGTAAGGTTGACAAAATGTTTGATGACAAATCACATATTTAAATTGTCTATATAGAAAATGGAGAGTGTTATAAAATATGCAATGTTATCAAAAGAAAAGTATTGATATTGAAACTTGGGTTTTCACCCTGGATATGATGTTTTCCATTGTTTCACTATATATAATCATCATTGCATTATCTTAATAACTGAGCATTTAATTCAAGAAACTCTAAGATTTCATTTGTATACAAATTGGGAGATCAATGGTACATATTTTGAAGAAAATAAAGATGAATGCCTAAAAAGCTAAATTTCATTTTGTCAATGTCTGAAAAAGTTAAATAACATCATATGAAAGCAAAATAAATAATTTAAACAGGCAGCTATTGATGACACTCTTACCAATTAATAAGTATGTGTTGAATGACTGAATGATAACAGGGCAATGCAGAGAAATCTTTGTAATTAGCACAGCACCTCACTTATTTCTACCTTGTGTTTTTCCTTTTCTCAACCCTAAAGTAGTCAGAAACTGGAAGAAAATTCCACCTTTCTTCCTGGCTTTCCTTTGTGAAGCCTAAGCAAATAGAGTTGGATTTTCCCAGAGGAGGAAGGGATGAGAGCTAGTGTTTTAAAGTTTTAAAAGCTCAAGTGGTGGGTACTGAAGAAAGATGAGGGCTTTCCCTGAGATAAAGACAGGGGTAGTTGCATGTAGCACCCTGAGATGGAGGACTGCTTTGGGTTGTACATAAGTGATGTGAGGGCATGGGGACTGAAAGCAGTAAGCATGGCCTATGCTTCCCTTCTCACTCTTGACATACAGATGGGCACCATCCTGTGTTCCCTTCATCAACTTGGGCATGTCAGCACTATCAAGAACCAGTGAAGTTAGTGACATGGAGATCAAAGACAGGAGAGTTCTTTTGAGAATGTTGGACAGAGCAAGAGCCTCCAAATGATATGGGGGATGTCTAAGAGGGAGCCCTGATAATGACGGAAATTCAAAGTTTTGCTGGTTTGATAAGCTGGAGACTTGGTGGTCTGATAAGTTGGAGTCTTACTTGTGAGCACTTTGACATCACACTCTACCGTTGACCTTAGATTCACACTAATATCAACTCTAAAGTGCAATTCTTGACTTCA